GCTAACGCTAAACAAGAATCTTAGCTCTGCTAACCCTAAACAAGAATCTTAGCTCTGCTAACCCTAAACAAGAATCTTAGCTCTGCTAACCCTAAACAAGAATCTTAGCTCTGCTAACGCTAAACAAGAATCACGTCCAGCACTGCTTGTTTGAGACAGTTTTTATTTATTTTGGGATAAATGGCATAAAAAGCGGGTTTTTGAAATTTTTAGTGGACTTATAATTAGTGGAACTTAATTTAGTGGAAGCTAACGGTATCCAAAAAAGCTAATCTTTAAAAGATAAGCTAATTCTGCTACGAGAGGAACTGTTCCCACCACTTGTTTCTGTTTTTATTTACCTTTGTAGAAAGAGATGAGTGTCTGCTCTCGTTCTTCGGTCCAGTAGCTCCTCATCGGGACGCCAGAGGAGGACGAGGAGGGGAGGAAGGAGATGATCAGACTTGGGGAGGTGGCGGCAGGTCGGCTCTCCTCCGGCGGGGACGGAGGCGGCTCATCGGGAACGTTGTCAGGGTCCCAGCTGCCCCGCAGGAACATCAGCTGCTGGTAGTACTTCCACTGCGGCTCGAACACGTGGTCAGAACCGGCCTCCTGGCTCAACCGGACCATCCGGTGCTGGCGCTGGAAGGTGGTGCGGAGGTTCTTGAACTTGTTCTTCACGTCTTCCACTACAACGAAACACCAGCTTTGAAAAGGAAATACAAGAAAAACAATAACAGTCTGAGGTGCTCTCAGACCCGACGATACCTGTGAAAGGAGCCGGAGGAGGCTGGGAGGACAGGAGGACCCTCAGGCGCTCCAGGGTCCTCCACCGGAGCTGCCGGTTCTTGTAGTCCTCCGAGTTCTGGTTCCACAAACAGCTGTGTTCTGGAAAAAAACAAACTCGTTTTAAACTTTGGGTCATTCTCAAGAATCTGTGCAGAAAAAACAAACAGCCGAGAAGTTCAGAGCACTTTATTTGACCTGAACCCTGAGAGCTGAACCTCAGCTAAAGAAACGGAAACGAGAAGATAAATATMAGCTAAAATTTAAAAGAAGATAAAGTTGGTTAATGTAGTAAAATGCTAATGCTAATGTAAAATGCTAAAGCAACAAAAAAATTAGCAGAAAGCCAAACCACCAGCTAAAAATTGCAAAACGCAAGATAAAGGATAAAAGTTAAACCTTGCTAAATGGTAGCTTAAAGCTGAAGGCAATGAAAATATAKCAAAAAACAAGAAATTTTTAGCTAAAAACCAAAATTATATTTAAAAAATACCTGCTAAAAATCTGAAAAAGTAGACAAACATTAAAAAARGCTAGCTAAATATAGCAAATACAATAAACAAAATGTTAAAGAGCAGGAAAAAGCTAGCCAAAAGTAAAAACTAAAAGTAGCTACATAGTAGTTAGAAGCTAAAAGCAACAAAAGGCTAGCTAAATACATCAAAATGGAAGCTTGATGCTACAAAAAAGGCAACTAAAGTTAGTGAAAACAACTAAATGGGCTAGTTAGAAAACAAAAACAGCTAAATATCAGCTAGAAGCTGCAAACGTTGCATAAAAGTAGCAAAAAAATAGCATAATGGTATTTAAATGCTAAAAACAATAAAAGTATAGCTAATTGCTAAACGTATCAAAAGCTGGATAAAATAAACTGAAGAGTAGCAAAAAGTCAACTAAAAGTAGTAGAGGGTTAGCTAAATGCCAGCTAAAAGCTACAAAATGTTACATAAAAGTAGCAAAAAACTAAAAATGAAATGCCAAACGGTTCTTAGAAACTAGGCAACAAATGTCTAGCTAAATGTATGCAAATAGTAGCTAAGCTACAAATAGCTCTAAGCTATAAGAAACTAAAAGTTAACAAAAAGTAGCGACCGGCTGGTTAAAGAAGCCAATGTAGGAAAAAGCCAGCTAAATATTTTAAACTGTAAAATGCCACAAAACCTGGCAAACGACTAGCTAAAAATTAAAACTTTAAATGGTAGCTAGTAGCTAGAATTCACAAAAGGTTAGCTAAAAACCTAAAAAAAGCCAACTTGTACACATCAACCCCCTCAGATATTTACCCTCAAAAATACARTATTTGTCATAAAATAAACTGTGTACATTACAACTTCACATGTATGAAAACAGCTAGATAAGAGTGACAGTGTCAGCTAAAATCTGAAAAAGACTAGCTAAAAAAGGGCTAGATTAAAATTAAATTAGCTAAAAGCTAGTTGATTAGCAAAATTGTAGCTAGAAGCTAAAGGATAGCACCATTTTCTACTTGAAAATGTTTTTTTCTGTGTTTATAACTTCAAATAGTTTGACTTTGTTTTGGCAACAGTTGCTTCTCTGACGTCACTGATGTCTTTCTGCCCTGCTGTTGTTTTTCTGGTTTAATTTTTTATATTTTATTTACATTGAGTTCAAAAATTCTTAATTTTTATGACTTATTTACAGCTTTAAACCGTGTTTGTTTGCATTAACAGGACCTTTCTTAATATTATTTTTGCATTTTTTCTTTCCTCTTTAAACTTATTCTCAGCTCCTGAATGTAGAATCAGCTTACAGACACACACTCAGGAGAAAAGTTTAGAAAACATTGGAAAAACAAAAGTTTTGAGGGTGTTTTTACTTCATTTAAGGTCAAATCAAATCGACTAACGGGAATCCAGGTTGCCCGTCGCCATTGCTGTTATTTATCGTCGCCGAAGACGTTGGTCTGATCCAGCAACTGTTGCCCCGACAAAAAAAAAAAAATGTTGCCGCTTCAGCTAACCCGTCAACGACACCCGGAACGGCAACAGTTCCGATGTGAAATGACAAAACGTGAGTTAAAAGTTGAACTTACTGGAGAAGAACGCGATGAGCGCCCGCTCCTTCTCCTCCGTCCAGAACCTCTCCGGAATGAAGCCGCACGGAGGCGCCGCCATCTTTGTTGTTSTCGTTCAGGCTTCGGCTGCCAGGTCACGTGGGTCCGAGTCCTGCGCTCTGATTGGACGAGCTGTGAGCAGTCCGGAACGATGACTCGCATTGCCCAGTAGAGGGCGCCGGAGGCAGTTATCTTATATGATATCTATGATATTTTATAAATCTTATATGTCTATAATTTCACCCACAGATATGTATTTTTTATATCTTAAATGATATTTWTGAKTGTTCGTTGATTACAAATATGAACAATTGTTTAAATTTGAAGAATAAATAGGCCAAATTACCTAATTTCCCTCTGGGATCAATAAAGTATTTTTGAATTGAATTGTTCAAGTTGAAACAAGAAGAACAAAAACTTAAATCGACAAATTAGGAGCTAAAAACTAAAAGACAGTAAACATATTAAAAGTAGCAAAACTCTGCAAAAACGCTAAAATAAAACAAAATAAAGTTGTGCAATTTTAATGCTTTTTACTACGGCTTTGTAAAAATTAGCTTAACCACTACTAAAAATAAAATAACATAAATGTATGGCTAACAGCTAAAACAGCTGTAAGTCAAGCAAAGCAAAATCCTAGTAAAAAGCTTAAATAAACCCAAGCAAAGCTAAATGCTGGAATAATCTAAACTACAACTAAAACCCATAACTGGCAGAACTTCAGTTACATGCTAAAATTAGCTAAACTAAAAGCTAAAATTAGCTCAACTGAAACCAAAAGCCAAATTTAGAAAACCAGAGCTAACATTAGCAAAATCCTGGCCTCGAGCTGAAATTAATCAAACTGAAGATGAAAACCAAAATTAGCAAAAACAATGGCTRAAATGATCAAACCCAAAGCTAAAAGCTAAAATTAGCAAAATTGTATCGAAATGTCAAACTTAGAAATTCATACAGAATAGCTAATATAACAAAACGACAGCCAAACCACACCTAATAAAACCATAGCTAAAAGCTAAAATTAGCAACAACGTAGCTAAGTCAGATGTAACAAAACCATAGCTAAAAGCTAAAATTAGCAACAACGTAGCTAAGTCAGATGTAACAAAACCATAGCTAAAAGCTAAAATTAGCAACAACGTAGCTAAGTCAGATGTAACAAAACCATAGCTAAATGCTAAAATTAGCAACACTGTAGCTAAAAGTCAGATGTAACAAAACCATAGCTAAATGCTAAAATTAGCAACACTGTAGCTAAAAGTCAGATGTAACAAAACCATAGCTAAATGCTAAAATTAGCAACACTGTAGCTAAAAGTCAGATGTAACAAAACCATAGCTAAAAGCTAAAATTAGCAACACCATAGCTAAAAGTCAGATGCAACAAAACCATAGCTAAATGCTAAAATTAGCATAATCATAACTAAAAGTTAAAACTAGCTGAGCTAAAATGAGCAAACCTAGCTAAAATCAGTTAACAAACTGTAATAAATAGTGCGAGCAGCTAAAAGTAGCATAAAAAGACAAACTGAACACGTTTGTTGAAGCAGAATTAAAATTTCTGGAAGAACTGAAACTAAACTTGTAAATATTTAAATAAAACCCTGATGAAGCTGAGCGTCCTGCTGACGAAGAGCTAAAATAAAAACCTGAATTAAAACATAAACAACGTGTAAACGCTGAGTTCTCACAACCAGTTTTAATCCAGACGTTGTTGTCTGCGAGGAGAGCAGCCGTCCAATCAGTGATCAGTATTTACAGCTCAGCTTCAGGCTGCTCCAACATCAAATATTTACAGAAAAGACATGAATGTGAAACATCAACAATAATTTATAAAGTGTTTACAAAACAAACAAAGCTTGTGCTAAAACAGAAGAAAGATTTGGTTCTCTTCTGATAATCTGAGGGATTACATCGTCTCTTTATTCTTCTGTTCCTTCCTGGACCTGGACCACGTGGAGCCGCAGCCCGGCCTGCCACCCGCGTTATTTACAAACTCCGTCATTCCAAAGTGCTTTTTGTTTGTTTACATTTTAAAGTCACGAATCAGCCGATCTTCACTCTGTTGTTTWCAGAACTCGTCTTCATCGACGCTTCAAGTATAAAAAAGTTCATTCACAGGAACGTCGCCGCTGCCAGAGAAAAACGCCTCAAATCACAAACGCTTCAATAAAAGAATTAAACTTGTTGTTAGTTTTATTTTGAAGGGACAAAACCAAACCCAGAATCAAGACCAGAAACATGTCGGTTWGATTTAAAAACAAAAATAAAAACAGGTTGAAGTTGAGGAGTTTTTCACTGCCAGCAGCCAGCAGCACTTTGATTTAAAAACATTAAAATAAATACTGACTTCTTTGTTTAATAAATCACTTTTCCCCTGTTCAAATACCTTCCAAACCTGGAGCGGCCATCTTGGAACGCCACGTTTTAGTTTGAACTGAGGTTCATGAGCAAAAGTTTGTGTTTTATGAACATAGAGGCGCCATTAATATTAAAAAACAATCTTAGAACAACGTTGTTGTGTTTCCGTGTGAAAACTCACTGGATTTTAATTAAAAATCTACGTTAGCGTGGACGCAGCTTCTCAAACGAGATGTCAAAAAAACCGATCCAAACAAATCTTTAGGAACCCAAAAGARACATTTACAAATAAACGATGTGTTTCCATGTGGACGACCAAAACACAACTTTTTGAAAACAGTGACGTCATCGTTTCACCTCTAACATTGTTTTGGGTCGTTTTTTTTTTTTTTTTGAGTTTGTTTTTTAAAACGGCAAATTTTTTAAAGCATTTTTTTTTTAAAACTACGTTAGCGTGGACAAAGATTCTCAAATTAGACGACAAAAAAATGTAAAAAATTTCATAAAAATTGAGGTTAATTAACGTCCGACACAAACACTTTGTTCTCTGTAAGAACTAAAAATAAAAACTTCGTCTTGTTGGATTTGTTTTTTCGACGTATTTTTGTCTCATCGGGCCTCAATCGCTCACAAAAAGTCCAACTTTGTGCACGAATCAAAACTTTTTTCTTCCAAATGTTTCCTTTTTAGAAAYAAAAGTTTTAAAATGATAAAATTAGAACAAATAAATATTTGTTGTTTATCACAAACAACCAAAAAGAAAAACAAACTTTTCATTTCTCGTGATTCTGACAGAAACAACCAAATCCTTCGACGTATAAAAACAAAAAGTTGATTCCGTCTCGTTAATATAATTATGATCTCCGTCCCAGTTGGCCCCGCCCACTTCCTGTCAATCAAATTCTCTTTGACAGCTCCGTCCAGTCACACGGCGTCGTCTCTGTCCTCCATTAAAGACCAGTTTTTATTGGTCACATGTGGCGTCCAAAAACAAGCCGATGATAAAAACACGTGTAGTTCAGCCGAGCGGCAAAACAACGAATGGAAAGTTTTACAGGCTCCGCCCCCTCGGCGGCGTCCTTCAGACGATGCTGTCGTGCAGCAGAGGTTCCACGTCCTCGTCACTAGCGGTGGGCGGGGTCTCCTCGTCGCTGCCGGGGAGCGGCGTGTTAATGTGGACGCCGGCTAGTGAGGACATGGACTCCTTGTTGTCCAGTTGGGGCTTGTCGCTGAGGGAGAGCTCAGAGGAGGAGGAGGAGGAGGAGGAAGAGGAGGAGGAGCAGGAGGAGGTCTTCTCTGGGATGAAGAGTGCGACCAGGAAGGCAACGACCACGGTGCACGCCCCGAGCAGGAAGGGTGGTCCGGGAATGAGCGCTTGCTGGAGGAGACGAGGACAGATAGGTTCAGTTTTTACTTCCTGGTTCTAATGAGTTTTTATTGTTTTTACTTCCTGGTTCTAATGAGTTTTTATTGTTTTTACTTC